CTCTCTCTCTCTCTCTCTCTCTCTCTCTCTCTGCTCAAAACTATTTTAATCGCGACGAAAGGCAATAATAACCTTTGAGTACGTGCTGCAAAGTTTGGTTATTTATAGATTCCCCCTTACGAGAAAATACGTACTTGATGACGCCAACCACGAATTGAATTAAAAACCACTCGAATGAAAAAACATGTTTTACCTTTCGTATCACTTTTATGATCTTTTAGATTAATAAATGTATAAGAAATTAATTCGTTACGGCTCATCATTAGTTTTTAGTTGTTATTATTATTTTATTATAGTATTTTTATGGTTATTATGTTTTAAGTTACGAATATTTCTGTTCATTAAACTCGGATTGCACTTAATTTTAACTTTAAAACCGTGAAATGAAAATTTATAGCCAATAAAGCATTAATAAAATGAAATAATGAAATAATATTGATTTGATTAACCAATTCCATGAAATCATTCACTTTATCTTATTTAGCAATTTTCGTTACCATATATTTTTCTAGTTCGTTAATTTAAATTTTATTGATATAATTCTTGTTGTTTCATTGGTTTTGATATTTTGCTTAGATTTTTCTAGTACCATATTTTTAGTATGTTAATGTTATTGGTATCTTTTCTGTTCTTGTATATTTATGTTCAACATTAATTCGTTAATTTTTGCATAAAAGTTATGGAATTTTATGTTGTTTTATTGTAGACCTTTGTCGTGGTCGCCAGTAGGTTTGGTAAACAGTATGTCTACAGATTCAACAAAGCAAAATCCTTGAATTTATTTGGACCACTTCATCCATTTAGAAAGGCGATCATCCTTTTTATTACTAATCAGTATCCTTTACACAAATATCGTATAGTGGCGTCATAGCCCCCATCTTGAATTGAGGAAATTTAGCAAGATGAGCTTTGTTTATCAGCGGAAGAAATCGTAATGGTGATATTGATGATATGTGACGATGATGAAGGTGATGGTGATGGTGGATGTGGTGATTGTGATGATGATGATGGTGATGATGATGGTGATGGTTATGATGGTGATGATGATGGTGATGATGATGATGATGGTGATGGTGATGATGATGGCGAGGATGAGGATGTTGTCGTTGAATAAAAACTAAAATACGCGCGCTCATGCGCCGTGCTTCTCCTGACGATTATTGAATGTTCTGCCATTCCACAAGTAATTTATAACTGCACACAGCACAGCACAGCAAGTTTTTCTTCTTTTATAGAATACAAATTAAATTAAGCGTTATAAGTTAATGACGCAACTGAAAATGCGCGTGCGTGCTGTGTGCTCTCATAAAGCACTCGCTCCCAACCAATCAGAACACGAGATTTATAACAGTTATTTCATAATGCTGATTATGTTGACGTTGGTGATGGGGATAAAGATGATCCAGTAATGATTGTGACACTGATGGCGATTAATTCTAATGATGCTGATGGGAACTGTGATAATAGTTCCAATATACTGTGTGTTGTGATTCAACTTTTCCTTCACCTTTAACCAGATTTTTTGAATTTTTTATACTTCTTACAATAATAGTAAACTGTATTTTTCTCGCAATCAAAAATGCACCTGAAGAGCCGGAGTAAGTACCAAATTATTTTTTATAATTATTTTATTATTATTATTATTATTATTATTATTATTATTATTGATAATAATACCAAAAACTAAAACCATCGTTTCCCGCCATGCTTTGCTTATATATATTTGCTTATATAACTTTCACAACCACTACCCACTAACAGACCATGTGATCGTGACAACCATGCCTTGTGATATAGTCCACAGCCTGTAGCACAATAGACCTAATTCGTTGCGTTACAATGTTTTCCCATTTCGGACCACGTGTCATTCCCAAGAGTGTCATTTCTTTGTTTAACGTTTACACTCGGTTTCGCATGAGAAGGCACATGAATATGAATACAAAACAAACAAAGAATCTTATTCTCTTGGGAAGGAAACGTGATATGAAATGGGAAAACATTGTAACGCAACGAATTAGGTCTATCAAATAACGCCTTACAGGAATTTCGATGTATGTCACCGTACATTCGCAATTGCTTTGTTTATCTTGAACGTCATTTCTCTTGTGTGGAATGTTCATCAGCTGAATTGCAAGTTTTCAATAGATTTCTATTTGACTGACAGCTGATGGTGGTCAGTGTTTGCTCATCATTTAGAGCAAATAATGAAATCCAAAGACTTTTATCAGATGATTCAGTCAAACCCACCAAGCGAAGTGCGTCTCTGGTCACTTGACTTGATCCTTACCAACTCCTGTTCATCACAAGTCGCTCATGACCAGTAACATAGCATGTTTTCATGTAAATAACAATAATAATAAAACCAATACATTTTTCTATCATTATCATTGACGATGTTGCCTTTTTAAACAGGTACGTTTTTGCAGCAATATATACTTTAGAAATGATAGTGAAAATTATTGCCAAGGGATTGTGTATGCATAAGTTCGCTTACTTAAGAGATCCCTGGAACTGGCTAGACTTCGTTGTCGTAATACTAGGGTGAGTAACGATAGACGTCTTGAGGTTGGACGTAAATGTTTTATGTTTTCTATTAGGCAAGGTAATCGAGAAAAGGTACTCATACCCAAGCTAGACCACAATGCACCTTGTTTGTACATTGTGGCCAAGCTTGGGTACGAACGACACCATATCAGTCAAGGTAAACAAAAGATGTTTGTACCCAAGCTTGACCACAATGCACTTTTTTTGGAAAATGGATGCTTTTACTCAAGCTAGACCAGAATGCATCACGGTCCGCTATCTCAGAAACGACCTATCATCACAAACTGTGGGTGTTTGACTGATTATTATTCAAATATCATTTCTCCTAGGTATGTCACTCTTGTTCCTAACGTAGCGAATTTATCAGGAATAAGAACCTTTCGTGTTTTAAGAGCCTTGAGAACAATATCAGCAGTGGAAGGTGAGTCTCGAAACACGGTTGATTAGATTATTCATGTCTGATTTATGGCCCATTAGTACCTACTATGGAACTGGGGTCAGGCTTTTGTATCACGTGATCATTCGTGGCCAATCATTTTGGTTAAGAAAAGATCACGTGGTACAGGAAAAATCAATCACGTGGTACAGATTTTCATAGTATTATATGGCTATATCACAGATGTACCACACTGGGTCACATGTTGTATAGTCTGGGATGGATACCTCGGTCCTAATGGGTAGTGCTATGTTCAGGTGTTGATTTAGATGATTCATGTCTGATTCATGGTTCATTGGTACCTATCGTTAAGAAAAGATCACGTGGTACAGGAAAAATCAATCACGTGGTACAGATTTTCATAGTATTATATGGCTATATCACAGATCCACCACACTGGGTCACACGTTGTATAGTCTGGGCACTATGTTTAGGCGTTGATTGGATAGTTCAGACAGTGTTATGTCATGTGTTTCAGGTCTCAAGACGATGGTTAATGCTCTTCTCAAGTCAATGAAGATGCTATCAGACGTCCTCATCCTCACCATATTCTTTCTTTGTATCTTCGCTCTCGTTGGGATGCAACTATTCGTAGGCGCTCTTAGAAATAAATGCGTTCTTAATGTGCCGCATCAGAATGCTACAAATGACTTTTTTACATATGCAAAAAATACTAGTAAGTGTTATTGAACTAGATAGATTCTATGTTTGTGTCGGGAGAAATTCTTTTGCGCATGCGCGTAATCCGTCTAAAACTCGTAATTTCTTACGATAAATTCAAGAGTTAAGAATTCATATTTCATGAGTTCTCTTCGCAGAATCATGGGAAAATGCTAATCAAAATCGGCAATGTCGAATCCTCAATACACTCTTTTCAAGTTCGAAATTACCGCTGTGTTTCTTGATTGCAGACTCATTTGCTCAGGCTAAGCCTCAAATCAGTGTCTAAATATTGACAAATACCAACGGTAAAGTAAAGAATGCACAAGTTCAACAATACGAACACTTTGAAACTTGACGGACCTTGACTGGAAAACGTGAATATTCTTCACAAAATCGAGGCTAAGCCTGAGTAAATGAGTCTGTTATCAAGAAATACAGCGGTAATTTGGAACTCGAAAAGGGTCTATTCTGATTAATTTACCTTCAGTTCGTCCTGAAGGTCAACTTAACTGGATACCATGCACACTGAACGACCATGGAGTGACAACAAAGACGTTCTTGGTTGTAGTGATGACTCATGTCTTTTTTGTCTTTGTACAGGTGTTTGGCTTTTAAATCCTGAAACTGATAACCCAGTCGTTTGTGGTAACTCTTCTATTGCAGGGTAGGTGCGATCTTCATTTCCGCCATTCTCATATCCATTCATTTATTTATCCACTTATCCATATAACATTGTATTCCTTCGTCCATCCATCCATCCATCCATCCATCCATCCATCCCTCCCTCCATCCATCCATCCATCCATCCC